ACTTCTTTTAAGATAAAGTAGATTCCAACTAGAGCGTATTGCTAATCTAATCAGCACACCTTATCCGAATTTTTTAGAATTCAGTTACGATAATTCATTTATAAGAGTAAACATAAAATAGTTTTTGCAGATTACTCCGTCACTTCTCATTCAGCGTTATCTACTGGTAACTTATCCACAAATAAAATTATGAGAAAACTGTCTTGGCGATACGATAACGGCTGCCCAATGTCTAAATTATATTTTCACAGTGGTTACAAAATTTAATAAAACTACCACTATTATATGTACTAAAACTGAATAATTTTAATTACAACGGTGTCGACATCTATATAATATATACACATATATATATATACAAATTTCCAGTTATAAATCAAGAAAGAAAACGAAATTATTGAAAGTAAAGTAAAAATAGTGAAAGTAGTGAAATTTCGGTATCACATTTCCACGGGACATTTACGAACAATTGCTGTTTTATTTCGTCAGTGTCTACCCTAGAAGTAGGGAAGTATGCAGATATACAGTCCACTAAGTACATGACTGACGTCTGGACCGGGACCATTCCTATGGGCCCGTAATCTTAGTCGTCAACCACTTTCTTTTAAGAAACGGGTTTGTCGCACGGAGTTGAACGTCTAGTCTAGGGTCACGCTCACCGCGTTGCCCCGAACCCAGTCTAGTGGTGTAGGTTGTATCTGATAGGAGGCGCATGACCCGTGTCTCATGAGTCCGTTGTGGTAGGGACTTCGCAGCCGGATGAAGAAACCAGCCGATGGAAGCGGCGCGAACTCCTTTTCCCTTTTCTGGTTTTTATGAATCAAGTCAAGGCCGGCATTGGCAGAGGAAGACGACTATCCGTTTTAGTTGGTATTTATATATAAATGATCTCTTCTTATTCATTGTTAAATTCTGTCAGATAATTAGGTTATAGAAAAGGAGAAAATTAAAAAGTTTAGTAAGAAATCATTAAAAATTATGTTATGAAGTAAATAATTCTATACTTATATTAAAATCTATTTTCTTTTCCAAACTTCTAGTTATCTATGATCTAAATATGTTAAATTATATCTCAAATTATAAAACATGTATCTGTTTAGTGCTCACTGAATATTTCAAAAGTTCTTTGAATTTAGAGCTGTTTTGAATTTGATGAGTCAGGATTGAGCCCTTGGATTAGGAATTTTAAACTACGACTTAGCTATTGGACTGTCAAGCGTCTGTTGCGTATTACAAGCCGTTAAACTGTAATGATTTATCATTTTGTTACTTTTTTATTCGTTTTTAATTTTTATTAAAAAAAAAAATTATTCTTCGTAAACTCGTTCAATATTGCACCATATCATATAAAAACATGCTTGAAAATTGAAACCAATTACATCCAAAGAAGACCGCCAGAAATTTAATAATGACATTGCATCGATAGGCACTTTTATGTACTGCAAAGAACGGGTATAGTTAGAACATTCACATAACTTAAGCCTATGTATGTATAGCCTTTTTTATACGTGGTAGAGCCTTGCTGCAACTATATCATGGTTGTAGCATGAATGGGTCGACCGGGGAACGACCACGCTCTTACAGAATACCAGCGTAAGTGTTTCGTATGGTGAGTGTGTAGAACCGGAGACCCGTTTTACTGGAATCGAGGCATTTCATCTTAGTCCTCGAGGATGACAACGCATCTGCATTTTAAATTTAGATGTCTGCTTTATTCGCAGGTTAAATGTAGATGCCTTTCGGCCACGGCATCCACTTATCATCAGGTGGACTGTGTGCTCGTTTGTCACCCTTATCCAATAAAAAAAAAATTTCTATTTCCATCATTTACTGAAGTAGAAGATAGACACCAGCATCTTCCTGGTAACTGCTCAATAACAATAATAAAAATCTGCGCTTACCAACAGGCCTGCTTATGATGGCAACTGTGGCAAATATCCAATGGAAGCAATCTACGTGAAAGGCCTATATTCAGCAGTGAACTTTTTATGGACCTGTACCTAATGAATGCATGAAACAAAAAAAGCGGTGAACGGCACGTAAAAAAGTGAACGGCAAATTGTTATCTTATAATGACCAGACAGAAATAGACTTGGTTTTACAACAATGCCTATGGATAAAAATAGAAGTTTATGGACGTATCTGTGATAATTGCGCTTTGATAGCATACGAGCTGTGGACACTGTGTTATCGTCCCGTGCAACATTTGAAAAACTTTTATGCTTTTATCCGCAGCAAAGAGCCAATTTAATAGCTTATTTATGATATTGAATGAGTAGATTTTCCATTATAATATATTTTTAAATAACTTTTGTTAACCATAAAAATAATATTGAGGTTTCTTAACGAAAAACTGGTTCGCCAAGATCAAAAACGATTTCCCTACACTCACAATATGAAACGCAGCAGTGTTAAGTTGCTATTTAAAGCTGGTATTCTGTGAGTGCATGGTCCTTTCCACGTTGAGCTAATTCATTCGTGCTCCAACTATAATATAGCTACAGTATGGCTCTACCATGTAAAATTTATGGCTTTAGCATATGCTTGGTTAAGAGCAATAATGCAAAAAAAATTCAAAAAAGTTGACGATTATGTAATTGCGGGAATATTACTTGACACTATAATGTTTTCTCTACAATTTACATATTTTTATTCAGTAATAAAACACGTACGTAGAAATAGGTACGAGGTCGTTACACATATTATATCCCAACGCATAGGTATTAGGGCTGATGAATAATCATAATACTCTTAGAATTAACAGTTGAATTCTTGCAAAAGTTCACTTCCTTTTTTTGAAAACACATGAGTAGCTACTTCCAGTTATCATGATGATAACAATGTGTGTCATGGACATGATTTGATTTAGGACGAAATTCAATTAGGTAAGCTCTACTTAAGTATCGAGCAGTCATTCATTTACGCTAGATAATTTATTATATTTGTGTACATTTGATTTCACTACGGCCTACATACATCACATAGCTGGGCACAGCCTACTCTCATTCCTTTTTATTGCAACGGGGAAGAGACCGTCCTACTGGTCTAATGCGTGCTTCTAGAATACACACATGTCGTCATCATGTTTTTTATTTCTCTGACGCGTAGCTTTCCTTTCCTCTCGATGAATTTCTTAAACAATCATGTGGCACGTACAATTTTGGTTAAAAGAATCGATAATTTCGCCGGGGAAAGGTGGTTAAAAATATTGTGTAAAACGTAAAACGAGAACTTATCGAGTTTTTTTTTACGTCATTTCCTTAATTAAGTATATATAATCTTTTCGTGACCCTTGTTGCGACGCGGAGTTGATGTGATAAACACTTTATCAAATACTATAACTTTATCAATTGTTATTACGAGTGCTTAATGATACTATATGCTTGATTTAAGTGTCGAAATCACCGATGAATACTAATGATTACAATAGGCACAAATTTTTGATTGAGTGTGAAAGAAAAGACTAAGACCCCACGTCTAAGCCTTTTAATATAGATTCATGTGGCGGAAAGTCACTATATTTTTTGTAGAATAATGGTGACAACCGAACACACAGTCCACACAGTCCAGATGACTTATGAACTATCAACTAGCGTTGTCGTGAGACAGCTCTATGGACTAAGGTAGAATGGAAACGAGTACCTAAGAACTAAAGTGGAATGCCTCGTTTCCAGTAAAAATGGCCTTCGATTCTGTACACTCACCATATGAAACGAGTACCTAAGAACTAAAGTGGAATGCCTCGTTTCCAGTAAAAATGGCCTTCGATTCTGTACACTCACCATATGAAACGATTACCTAAGAACTAAAGTGGAATGCCTCGTTTCCAGTAAAAATGGCCTTCGATTCTGTACACTCACCATATGAAACGAGTACCTAAGAACTAAAGTGGAATGCCTCGTTTCCAGTAAAAATGGCCTTCGATTCTGTACAATCACCATATGAAACGATTACCTAAGAACTAAAGTGGAATGCCTCGTTTCCAGTAAAAATGGCCTTCGATTCTGTACACTCACCATATGAAACGAGTACCTAAGAACTAAAGTGGAATGCCTCGTTTCCAGTAAAAATGGCCTTCGATTCTGTACACTCACCATATGAAACGATTACCTAAGAACTAAATTGGAATGCCTCGTTTCCAGTAAAAATGGCCTTCGATTCTGTACACTCACCATATGAAACGAGTACCTAAGAACTAAAGTGGAATGCCTCGTTTCCAGTAAAAATGGTCTTCGATTCTGTACACTCACCATATGAAACACAGCAGCATTGAGCTGCTATTTTACTCTAGTCTGAAATCGTGGTCTTTCCTCGGTCCAACCTACCCATTCGTAATACAAACGTAATATAGTTCCACCATGATTCTACCACGTAGAGTTTGTTTACAGCGTAGTTTATTTTACAATTTGTAACTCGAAATGATCGCTTTGAACTCGAATACAATCTGTTTTATCTTTATAGAATCAGCACCATTTGCTTTGTGAAAATTATTTTATTACCTTGCTAAAAAAAATTCAAGATAACTCGTTTAAAATAGGAATTTTTCTTCGAAGTAAGAGCGCGTTCTAGGTAAAGGTAAGAGGAAATTAGAGCCACCGTTATTAACACCTACATTACCAGTGAAACGAAATACTGGGAAAGTGATATTTTTATATGTAAGCAGTTGTGACGAAAGCTTTCTACGATACGATACGAGGCCAGGCAATACAGCGTCTGAACAATCGCTGCGACAGCCGACGCGCAGCGCCGCTTCAGTAAACCGTTGGCATTGGAATCATACAGGCGGTTCTAGCTTCGCCGCGTTATTTTAAATTTGCGTGCGAAATTTGGCCGTTGTAATTCAAAAAGTTAACAATTTAATCCGTTTAGTTTTTCATTTAAACTTTCTTATTGAAATGCGTATGTGCTCGGAGAGACAGTGTGTCCGTTGTGCCCTAGCTCGTTGGTTCGGGCGTCGCGCCACAAAAATGTCCCATTCAATGGAAATATTGCACTTGCAGTTCAAACGGATGCTGAACAAGGAGCTGAGCCACTTCTCAGAGTCCAGCAAGTCCGGTAACCAGATCTCGGAGTACATCTGCTCCACCTTCTTAGGTATGTATTACACAAATTTTGTATTATAATAGAAACTTATAAGCCTTTAACAAAACAAAAACATTTTTCTGATATAACACACTGTTATAGCTTTTTAAATAAAATAGCGATTACAAAAAATACTATTTTATTTATTGGCAATATGGTAAGATCATCGTAATTTAGTGTAAGTTTTACTTGAATAACTCAATTTTAATGTAAGTAAATTTAACATACTTCACAAAGGGCTAAAGGAGTAGAGATAAAAAGTTTTACTGAAATATCCTTATACCTACATACATGTAATTTATTTAATATTTACAACTTTGGATTAGTCTGGGCAAACAGGTTTCCTCACTGTACCTTCACATGACGTAAATTTATATTAAATATTTTTATTTTACAAATTTTAACTCTATCTGCGCAGTCCCTTTCATGGAAATGAATTCGCCACAAAGCTATCACGGTTCACCACAAATGCACGGTTAAACAACTGTAATTAACTTAGAAAATAAGACTTTAACATACGTGTCCATTCCATGAATAAGATACGACTGCGTCAAAGAGTAGAAGGCTACCCAGTTATAAATGTCACATGAACTATTATTCCACTAACGTCCTTAGTTAAATCACACTGCGTGAATAACGTTCGTCTCGTCTCTACATATTGTATTCAACTGTAATGACGTTGCATTAAAAATAAAAAATTGTTTTGAATGAAATAAAAATAGGGCGATAATTGTGATGACCCTACAAGCCACATTTACTCACTGTGTAATGGCGATGTAAGAACATCCACTACTCCAAACCGTCAAGTGGGTGACGTAAGAGGCGACACTGAGAAACAAACCGGGAGATGGTTGCCAGCGTCTTCCTAAAAATGTGGCAATTATAGTAAATTGCCCAATATGAAGCATTCTATAGGGGAAACCTATGGGACTTTGGTGGGTGCAACGGTACCGATTACGTAAGCAAATATTGACGATGTACAAACATGAATTTATCACGTGCATTACCTATTACTAATGTGCCGTTTATTTTATAAAATATGTATCATATGTATTTTAGCTGGGCTAAATATCGCCATTAACTGTAAATTAAAAAAAAAAACGTTACTTACATCCTTCTCTATAAATTTCATACGAAAATTTTTCATGAAAAATATTTCGTTTGATTTCTTATTATTTCTTATTTCTTTAGCCCCTTTATTTCTATAGATATTTCGTAACAATCCCTTGAATGTCCCTTGAGTTCATAGTACAAATAAAAACAACTTAAAAAACTTAATTCAGATATCAAAACTTTAAGTTAACTAGATATTATTGAATGTATACAAAGTCCACCTTATCGATTGTTGGCGTGTAGACAAGTGCTTACATAAACAAATTATTATCAAACTAAAATACTATCAAGCGGAGTTAATTAAAGCTATAAACGTCGCGTCGCGTCGTTTTTTAAAAAATTAGTACGCGAGGAATACGTGCATTCATTGCAAAATTTTAGTACCTATATGTATTTGTGCTTAATAAATTAATTGAGCAAGGTATTGAGGCCATTGGCAAGCTGCAGAATCGTCTAATTAGTTTGTTTGGCCTCAGCCAGTCCACACTAGACGAATACTGCTCACGACCACAACGCAAGCAAATTGCCTGATATTTCTACGCGTTAGATACGTACTTACGTAATATCCTCTCTCCTCTCTTCTCCCTTATTTACGGTTAAAAAGACTTCATTATTGGGTACATTGTGATAATAGAAGTATTAACGTAATTAGAAAAAATATTCCAAATCATTAATAGTAAGGTACTAAATAAAACTTTTATTTTACTTATACTATATTCGTACTAAAATCTATAATATAAAATTATGTACAGTTTAACCATCATGACCTCAAATTACTTGGATTACTATGCAATTTTTTGAGGTCCGGATGGTTAAACTGTACATAATTTTATATTATAGATTTTAGTACGAATATAGACTAAGTAAAATAAAAGTTGTATTTAGTACCTATTATTGTTCCTTATTTTTAGAAATATTTTATAAATTGCCTATTAATCAAATCATCATTCAAGCTTATCAAAGTCCATTGCTAAAGGCCTCCTAGGCTTTCCCATCAATTGCCCCCATAAGAGTGATATTTACCAATTTACCATAGCCACGCTAGGCAAACGAGTTAACAATCGCAGTTTTTTATTATCTACTTCTTATTAGGAAACCGCTGCTACTCGGCCATATTCCAGTTTGTTTCTTCGACACCCACGAGACGATATGGGGTAGTTGGTATTCTTACACTTCTATTACACGGTTTATTATTTATATTAATAATTTTAACTATTTGTGCATTTACTACTTACTTTAGGAAGAATAACAAACGTTGTGTTTTCGGAATAAGGAACGGTAGTTTTCTAAGAGATGTTTACAATAAACATTCAATTTCAATCTATTTTTGCTTCTTTGTACAAGGCCAACCGAAAGTGTTGATTGACACAAAATCGTTATTTTGTTTACAAGCTGAAATAAATGTGTCTGTTTCGAAAATGGTGGATTATACAAAAATAAGACGTAAATATAATAAAAAGTAATTTTCTAACTGCGCTGCTTTTCCTATCGCTCTTGATTAGATATAAACGGGGTGTGTATTATATTATTAACTTGATAAAACGTTCTGTAATCCTTTTTGTAATTCACTTGTATATACTTTACTTTGTTTTGTTTTACTTTCTACTTATGTGTTAATAACATGTGACTAAATAGAAAACATCTACCTAAAAAAATGTTATACTTTTATTACAATATATTACAATAAAATAAATTATAATAAATATTTATTACAATAAAATCACGTCAAACAATTAATATATATAATTATAAGAAAGTTTGCATTAAAATATTTTACATAAAAATATTTCACATCTAAAAAATATTATATTTGTATAGTGGCTTTGCACTCGCCTGTCCAACATAGTGAGTATGGCCAACTTTCAAGAAATGTATTCTTGTATTAAATTGGAACAAACTAAAATAATTTTCTGTGCCACATGAAAATATGTGTAGTAACACAATGTTTTTCAGAAATAATTTCTGACCGCTTTAAATGTAATAACGTTGACCGATATACGCATGTGCGCATTTATCATTTAATAAAGATAGCGTACAGGTACAGTGACCCAGAATCGAGTTAATCAAATTTATAATAAGTATAGAGTATTGCCTTACTTTCTTTTGACATTTATACCTATTGACGCCATTTCAGTAGTGCAGTAAAGCCACTAACGTATTAATACTCTCATTTTGTTGTTATTCTGATATAAACAAGTATCAATAGGTCGATCTACGCAGCTGTTCCGAATACCTATTCCATATTTACATTTACGTATTATTCACAGTTTGATTTGGGAATTACTCAGCTGCACTAGCCTCTCAAGGAATTTCGTGAAAGAGTTTTTTTTTTTCAATAGGAAGTGTAAATTCAAGCAGCAGTTCTTACCCATTTAAAATATTTGAATATTAGTTAACCGATATATCCTTATCGTTACAGATAAACAACAAGAGTTAGACATACCATCATTACAAGTAGAGGAGAACACTGAACGCACCAAGAAAAAGGAAAAGCCTCGTCATGGCGGTCCCGGTGGAACAATGTCACAGGTAAGATTTTTCTGTAAAATGATCGATGTTACCCACACGCTAGAAGTTTTTAATTCGTGCTGCTGTAGCACCGCACCGTCGTTGGACACCGTCATTCAAACCGGGGAAGGCCTTCTCCGCCAGACCAGCGTAAAATAACAGGTTAAAGCTGCTGGGTTTCGTATGGTGAGTGTAGAGAACCGGACGCCAATTTTACTGGTAAAGAGGCATGCCATCTTCGTCTTTAAGGGTGAAAACGCATCTTCATTTTGATTTTTAAATAATGATAGATGTAGATGTCTATGAGCCGCAGCATCCACTTACAACCAAGTATACTGTGCGCTCGTTTGTCACCCTTACTTCTATAAAAAAATTACCAATCTCCATTACATATATAAGACAAATACAATGACGCTCCGCCAACATTTGGTGATTATCCGAAATCGCAGGATTTAATTACCACCTCCACCACCTGCTACAAAAAATCTTTTTTAATGAAATGAGACTTATGCTATAACATTGCACATGGCATCCATTAGGTGTTCTGTTTAGAACAAATGCTTTACGTTTAGTTTATTGGTATCATAATTTTTGTTACATAATATTTTCATTCCTTTAATAAATTTTAAATGCATTAAATTATTATTTGTTTTCAGATATCTGGTGTTAAGAGAACATTAACACATACGAACAGCTTCACCGGCGAACGTGTACCAAGATACGGCGTTGAAACTCCTCACGAAGAAGAACTCGGTAGTCTGCTCGGCGAGCTGGACCGCTGGGGCGTCGATATATTCCGCATCGGAGATTTGACATGTGGCCGCCCACTGACAGCCGTGGCATACGCCGCGTTCACATCTCGCGAGTTATTGGCAACACTGCAGATACCAGCACGAACTTTCATAGCGTTCATAATCACACTAGAAGAGCACTACGTTCGGGACAATCCTTTTCATAACTCACTCCACGCTGCTGACGTCACGCAATCCACGAATGTACTTCTCAACACGCCGGCGCTCGACGCCGTGTTCACGCCTATAGAAGTCTGCGCCGCTCTGTTCGCCGCGTGTGTCCACGACGTTGATCACCCCGGACTCACTAATCAATTCCTTGTGAACTCCAGTTCGGAACTCGCGCTCATGTACAACGATGAGTCGGTGCTTGAGAACCACCACCTTGCCGTTGCGTTCAAGTTACTACAGAACGACGGCTGCGATATCTTCATCAACCTTCACAAGAAGCAAAGACAGACGTTGCGAAAGATGGTCATCGATATGGTGCTTTCGACGGACATGTCCAAGCACATGAGTCTCCTCGCCGATCTCAAAACCATGGTTGAAACAAAGAAAGTAGCTGGGAGCGGTGTACTGCTTCTTGATAATTACACGGATAGGATACAAGTGTTGGAGAATCTCGTACATTGCGCCGATCTGAGTAACCCCACTAAGCCGTTGCCACTGTACAAGCGTTGGGTGGCATTACTTATGGAGGAATTCTTCCAGCAAGGTGATCGCGAAAGAGAGCAAGGGATGGATATAAGTCCAATGTGTGACAGGCACAATGCTACTATAGAGAAATCTCAGGTCGGCTTTATTGACTATATCGTGCACCCTCTGTGGGAAACTTGGGCAGATCTCGTTCATCCTGACGCTCAGGACATTCTGGACACGTTGGAAGAAAACCGCGATTATTACCAGAGTATGATTCCGCCATCGCCACCGCCCGCGCCGGTACAAACCACGCATTCAGGAGCCGACGACGACCGTCCCGAACAAATACGCTTCCAGGTACGTTACCCTGTTTCTAGATTAGCGTTCACATAATTCACAAAATATTTAAAATTCGGAACTTACGCTTAAATTTATTTATGCGAAACGATATTGGAACTTGGAAATTCAAATTGCGTTACCCTAGCATTCATTTCATTTGCGGTTCAAGTTTAAATCCGTGTAAAGGCTGTTGGTACATTTTATACTGGTATATTAGTATTTCTTGTCCTATTTTACATTTACTTCATTAATTTGAACTAAATTAACGCGAAAACAGTAAAACGCTAGTCTGTGTCTCTAAATTTATTATTACTTTAATAACACATTCCTCTCAAAAAGCACATGAGGAAAAAATAAAAACAGACAATGTTAGGATTATACGAATAACTAAATTTGTTATTACTTTAATAACACATTCATCTCATAAAGTACATGAGGAAAAAATAAAAACAGACAATGTTAGGATTATACGAATAACTAAATTTATTATTACTTTAATAACACATTCATCTCAAAAAGCACATGAGGAAAAAATAAAAACAGACAATGTTAGGATTATACGAATAACTAAATTTGTTATTACTTTAATAACACATTCATCTCAAAAAGCACATGAGGAAAAAATAAAAACAGACAATGTTAGGATTATACGAATAACTAAATTTATTATTACTTTAATAACACATTCATCTCAAAAAGCACATGAGGAAAAAATAAAAACAGACAATGTTAGGATTATACGAATAACTAAATTTATTATTACTTTAATAACACATTAATCTCAAAAAGCACATGAGGAAAAAATAAAAACAGACAATGTTAGGATTATACGAATAACTAAATTTATTATTACTTTAATAACACATTCATCTCAAAAAGCACATGAGGAAAAAATAAAAACAGACAATGTTAGGATTATACGAATAACTAAATTTATTATTACTTTAATAACACATTAATCTCAAAAAGCACACGAAGAAAAAATAAAAACAAACAATGTTAGGATTATACGATTTGTAAAGGAGGTTATAAACATACGTTGTACTACTATCAAGAAATTTTACAGTTTTATAGTTATCTTACTATGCCTATTGTTAAAATATATTAAAATATGAAATCGTCCATATCCGTAACAGTAATAACACAGTAAACCACAATAAAACAACCACGATCTATACTAAAACTTAAACATTTTATGTCTGTTGAGTCTACAGTTAAAGTCACGTTACTAAATGATCAGAATACCTGACAAATACGCCGGTGGTCCTTTTTGACCTGGGAATTCTTGATAGATACAAGTAAAACAGAAAGAGTTTGCCAGACTCTTACTAGCTAAAACCCCATCAGCGCATGCAAGGGGTAGCGAGATCTCCGTTCGAAACGGCCGGAATTCGCTCCATCACTTTAAATACTTAACACGTCTAGGCACGAGTAACATATAGTCGATTGCTTTCATCAGTATTCGAAAGTATCACAAAATCGGGCAATTGAACAATGTAGATAAATCCAAATAATAAATTCAAACAGATAATAAAGCAATCGGGGCCCTCTGGAAATCAGTGCTGCAAGCTGGCGTCTTATACTTCATCATAGCACATTGCATACACATATAATGGACGCATTTCTTTTCTTTAGTCTAATTTCCTGTGTTTTGTTTGTTTGTTAATAAGTTACTTGTTTTATTTTTATTTGTAATTTGTCATGTGTAAGTGTAGTGTTGTAGATGTAAGTGTTGGAATAAATGTCTTTATGTCTTATGTCTAAATTTGTATGTTGTCATAGGTAACACTAGAGGAAGGGGAAGGCTCGGAAGAATGCGAGGGGGAGGGCGACGGTGGGATGTGACGGAAACTACTGGGAATCTGCAAGAAACTCTCTGAGAAGATGCAGGTGTGGTGGAAGCTATGGCAGTAGGCGCCCCGAGCGGCGCTTCCCCTCGTTGGATAATAATATAACACTTGTTGACGCTTACCGTCGGAATGGAACGAGCCACATTCCGACCCTATTTATATGTGATTATTACGCAATGTTGTTTAGAGTCACCTAACGACTAATTATGTCCCTCCAATGACTATAACATTCGATTGTCTAGTGTTTTTACTATCGTTTTGTTTTTGTCTAACCAAAGAAATGTTCGGATACATTTGTTGACGTTCTATATCCCTGTGAGTAGTCGGTCTTCAATTCGTAATGTTATCATGTAAGTAGATTTAGTCGCCAGCGCCGTATGTATCGGACTGGCTAGTTAAGGACATTGAAAACGCTTATTAATTGGTATGAAAGGGTAATTTATATTGTCATATCATCCACGTTTCTCATATTTAATACGGGTTTGCGATAATGATGTTATTCACCAAAATATATTAACATATTAGGTATCCTAAATATAAAAATATTTTAAGGTAAATTTAAAAAAGCGCCTTTTTGGAGTTGTTGTTGTATCTTCTTTATGAATATTTAATATTCGATTGGTCTCTTACTAAACGACACACCACCTAGCTCATCCTGTAAGATAGATTTATTTTATTTGGAAACCTTATGGCACCTCATTTCTTATTAAGGATCGCTGGCGATCCAATTTTTTTTTTAGAATAATATATTATTTTTTAAATTACATAACAATTCTAGTTTTCATTCACCCGAATAGTCATGAATTTTTAAGTACGTATAAGAATCTTTGTGTACGCAACTAACGGCTTGAAGTGTTTGACTAAACTATAAGTACTAACAATGGCGTGGTTTGCGACTAAGTTTTCTATGAAGTATATCAAGTATTTTCAGTACTAATTTGGGTGCAAACGTCGAGGGCCCACAGGCCGGGTCTTGCAATATAGTACATTGTAAGTAGGTAGGTAGTTTTCGAAACTGCGCACAACGCTCATACTATTCTCTATTATATCGGTGTATTGTAAATCCTCTTTTCGTACAACTTGAAATATATACATGTGAATGTGCTTGATTCTTCGACGCCACAGATCTGATTACATGCGTCATCTCCTCTTACAAAAAGCCTTTACCAAATATGTAGCAGTTAGTTAAATAGATGCCCAATCTATCCAAAAATTCACCTAAAACACTCATTCATATTTGTTTACCATAGAGGGTGTTATACTTAATTACCTGTATTTTGTGCATTTTATAGAAACCGTCATCTTAGTTTTTATTTTTATTTTGTGAGCTGGTCTCTTATATTTTATGTACTCAAGATATATGTTTGCCTTACTTTGAGTCCTCGCAATTTTTTTTAAATTTTTTTATCTAATCCTATACACGTATTAATTACGGACAGTATTACTCTGTTATTCGCGCTTAATCATTCATCAGTGTTAAGAATGATGGTCCAATGTACATTATTTTCTTAGATAAATTAAGATTCCATTTGTCATTCAAAATGTATTAATAGCAAGGGGCATTATCGCTGTAATGTTCTTATTCTAAAATAAATTGAAATTCACAGAGTAAAATTCAATATGTCAACACTGACATAAAAAATTAAAACGCTTAACTACTTGTGTGTTTAAATAGAAAGATTACGCTTAGTACATAAAAGTGGTTATAAATTATATATATTATATACATATGTATGTATGTTAATATGTCGGACAAAGGTGTTTGTACAATATTAGATCTGTGTGAAATATATATCTACGTTCTCTATTCATACGCACCCGTAGTATTTTGTATAAGATGAAACCGACATTTCAATAATATTCTTTAAATTCTTAAATCCTTAATTTCTTTAAAATTTGTTAATTATCGAATGTTACAAAAACTTTTTACGATGACATTTTTTGTTAACATTTTTGACCTTTTTAGAAGATATAATCCCTTGTAAGTTGTAACCTACACAAAACTTGATTCTGTAACTAAATTAAAAAATCTTGAATTCCGTAACTAAATTAAAAATATGTTATTATTTGTTGCAGTTACTAGAATTAGTTGTATTAAATAGTTACAAATAACGTTCCTTCAAACAAATAAAAAACCACATTGACCATGATTTATCACATATATATACCTGACATTCATATATTGTCTACATACATGCATTGAGTTAATTTTTTTTTATTCGCACTCGACTTTCTACCAAAGAGTAAGTTCAAAGGTTTAATGTGATGTAATAATCGATTTGAGTTCGCTATACATGTGTACATCTGGAATGTCATATTTTTACTTGAATCCTGTAGTCTCTCCCTAAAAGCTTGAACGCAATTTTTTCATCAATGTGGAGAACTATCGCTAAGATTGGATTACTTAGATAAATTATTATAAATACCGAGTTAAGTGTGCAATGCTGGTCATTTGCATAACTTTTATTTATGTTTAAAAACAAAATAGCTTGTAATAGTTTAAATGAATATTTGAGTTGAATTAAAGAATATTAATGTATTTAGAATAAAAAGATATTGGAGAAAGTTGAAGCTGTTTCATTATATAATTCTTAAGTAAATAATTTTTAATCAAATAATGCGTAAAACCAAGTTGTGTCACAGCATCATAATTCCAAAGATTTTAGCTGAATAGGATAAAAATGTAGGAGTGTATTTTTTCAATATACAAGTAGTACGACATCTCATTTAAAAAAAATATTATTTAATAAAAAGTGACGAAACAGGAGTGGGGGGCAGGGAGCTATGACCCTCGACAAATTTTAGGGGGATATATAGATGTGAAAAGGAGGAACGTAGAATGCGATGAATAGTAAAAAAAAGTTTTAAGATTTCTATGAATACTTCGTAATGAAATTAGTTTCAATAAATACTAAGAGCTTAAGCACTGTCACTACAACTAACAAGTTAGATACAAAAAGATTTCATCACTACAATTTTGTATATTGTTAAAACGAATATTAAAAAAATATGGACTTAATTCACAGAAATCAGTTAAGATTTCTGTGAATGTACACAGTTAAGTGTCTTATAATTACGATTTCTGTGCTTACATGGAAAACTTGTGAAGTAGCCCAGGTCCCACAATTCGTGTTTGTCCTAAGCGATATTATATACGCACACATATTAAGCATAGGTTCTGATTGCCGATTAGCGGACATTGATGTATTATAGACATTTTCAGCCTGGCATTAAGTTCGTATTTTTAAAGTCCGTGATTGTTAAAGTTGAATACATTGTAACTTAAATAAGATGATCGCGATCTGAGGGGTTTGATGTGGTTGCAAAATTATATAATATTTGTAAAATAGGTATTTAAAAATTAACATTTCAGCTTTCACAAATATGGCATTTAAATGTTTGGGTTAGGTTTAGTATTGTTACGAGCTTGAGGTTCGTGAAAATAAAAATTGCCGATAGAATTACCTAAATTAACACTTTAATTCACTTTACACTAATTAAAGTTAAAAACACTAATAATTAATCACACTGATTCACTTTATTCCGCTCCGAAGCTTCGCTTGTCTCGCCAACTTCAATACTTCCCCGATCGCATCTTGCAGCGCCTATTTATATAAATTAGCACGGAAATATCCAGAATATTCAAGTGAACACGCGCAAGGTACTGAGAGTTTGAGTTTCAACTAGGCGCTAGTGCCGTCGGCTAAGGCGCGTAACACTGCCCCCTCCTGAGACATGCTCGTCCCGAGCATTATCGGCCCCATAATAACGTGCCAGGCGATCCACATGGACGATCTTAGGAGTTCCTCTTGCGCCTTTCTATATCCGGTAGGTTACATCGTTGATCCTGGTCACAATCCGGTACGGGCCATCCCATTTAGCTTGAAGCTTAGGAGATTTCCCTTTGCTGCGGACTGGATTGTGCAACCACACAAGTGAACCTTCGTCGAACCCTTTGTTGTTCATTTTGCGGTCGTACCGGGTTTTCATCTTTTCAGACATTTGCTGGCCCGATTGTCTGACGTGCTCATAAACGTCATTCATTTTGTTCCGCAAGTCATTTGCATAATCGGTTATACTGCGTATACATCAGGTGGTATCCCGGTGATCAGGTCTGCAGGCAGCCGTAATTCTCTTTCAAAGTTTGCGAAAGCTGGTGTCACTGCTGTACTTTCGTGAACAGCGCCTCGATATGATAACAAAAACGGTTGTATGTGCTTGTCCCAATCTCGTTGCCGATTGTCTACAACTTTTGCTAGGTACCTCTCCAATGTCTGATTAAATCGTTCTACCATTCCATCAGATTGCGGGTGATAAGAAGTCGTTCTTGTTTTATAAGTACCCATAACTCGGCAAGTTTCCTGGAATATTTGAGACTCAAAATTCCTTCCTTGATCGCTGTGAATCTCTAAAGGTACTCCAAAACGACAAAAGACTTCATGAACTGAGGAGGTACTTTTCAAAACTTGACTAATCCACTTTTTGTGTTTTTGTATAATTTAAAGAAATATAATTTTAAGAGCACAGTTATGTGTTTAATATAAAATGTTGATGAATTATAATATACAACAAAAATAGTGATTATTTTATATGACTCTCAAATTTTTTGCAGTAACATAATATAGAATAAATCTAGAATTTTAAAATGGAATAATCAAGTTTTGACTAGGCTGATTGGAATAATCAAGTTTTGTTATGTGCTTTAAAGGAATAATCTAGTTTTGATTCAAACCATTGGGGATTAATCTTATTTTGTTGAAATTAATTTAAAATGGTGTTTTACTTAATAAAATTCTTTATTTATTTATCTTCTTTATTTATATTTATTTACTTATTTATATTATCATCTTTATTTATATATCGTTCTAATATTATATGTAATATTATTTAATAACTTTATCATTTAAACAAAATTGACTAACCTCATTTTCATCTTGAAATAAAATAAATAAAACTAATGTAATTAAAGAATTTTTTTTATTTAAATATACTTAA